CTTTGGAGAGCTGAGGAGGGGGGGCTGCTATTGATGACCTGCTGCTGAAAATGCTATCTGCCCGGCCGTCCCTGGCTATGGTAATAGAGCAGGAACAAGTGTCCAGATCGGTTACATGAAAAATCCATACCTGGGTATTCATTCAGTAATTCCGCTGAACTCGATGGACCTGTGTCTGTATTCAACCTCAAATACTATGTAACTCTGTATTGAAGCCATAGGACCAGAATGACCATGACAGAAGGGCTTTCTGGAAGTTTTTCTGCGCAGCCAGTCCATACTTCAGCGAAGTCTATTGTTCCGGTGCTCTACCCTGGCAATAATTCCATCTCAGCAGCTGTTCAGCAAAGGAGTTGGTGGGACCGTGCTGACCTTCAGCTGGCCACTAGGGGGAGTGCTAGTACATTTAAAATCAGTAGGAAAATGTGGAGCAACAAGCGTGTAAAAAAACAACAACACGTGGAGCAAAAACTTTGTAAGAACGTTGTTATAATAAAATAGATACAAAAATAAAACAAAAATGTGTTTTATTGTAAATAAAAATGTTTCGATGATAAAAATAAATCTCAAAGAGGATTCGCTGAAAACAAGCACACGGCCTCCCTTTAAATGTGCGCAGCGAATGTGTTATGTAACGCGGCCTCGAACGTGTCGATGAGTGGCGCTCTCCTGACTCCTAACAGCCTTCATCCAGGATCACTGAAGTGCCATGAGAGGAGGATAATGAGTCAGGGGAGGCGCCTGCAATGCGGAGATGAGGAAACGCAGCCGACGCTTCTCTCTTCTATCTGTATTTCTGTAATAAGAGATCGCTGATTAGCCTCAGAGCGGAGGGAAGGTCTGAGGAGGTTTCCTGGGGGGTAACGGCTGAGGGAAGACAGCCAACTATGTTATAATGAAGGTGAAAGAGCCAAAAGCATCTCCTAACAAGATGGCTGAACTCCGGCTTCCCCTTCAGTCTAATATCTGACCTTCAACCTTCCCTTTAATCGTATATCTGACCTCCAGCCTCACCTTCAGTCTTCTATCTGACCTCTGTCCTCCCCTTCAGTCTTCTATCTGACCTCCGTCCTTCCCTTTAGTCTTCTATCTGACCTTTGTCCTTCCCTTCAGTCTTATATCTGACCTCCGTCCTTCCCTTCAGTCTTCTGTCTGACCTCTGTCCTTCCCTTCAGTCTGAAATCAGGCTTGCAGTGACAGTGTCTATAAGATAACTTGGGGGGGGTACTTATGCACACTTTTAGGTTGGATTGAGCGCTCACAGTGAGCTTCAATAGAGAGTTGATGATCCCTGTTTGTAGTCGGAGTGAAGCTGGTTCTCTGGGTGTATGGAGCCATACAGGCTCAGGATGTACATTAGTGTGCACGTCCAGTGTCAGGGGAAATATATATATTCATCTGTGTATTCCGCGCTGCAGCAAAGTCATTTTCATCTCTGGATCACGTTCATTAAAGATTTCTGTTTTCTATGGAAACGGCAGGCTCTGATCATCTATACCCGTCATGTAAGCGGAGAAGGCGAAGACTCATAATAACGGAGCTTCTGTTCCGCAGACATTGGGGTCGGGGGGGTGACTCAGCATCTAATAGGGGGGGCCGACATCTAATAACAGGAGAGAGCTTCTGCCTGGGAGCTTCCTGCAATGGCATCGCTATTATAAACACACTTCACTGTCTGCTTTTAGTTTGCCTGAAAATCGGTTTTCAAAGCATAGTTCATATTTTTCATTTTGCTGCACCATATTGTCATCAAGAGCCCCCTTCACCTGCCGGGTCCTCCTCCCCAGCTGCACCTCAGACATGCAAAGTGCGACTCAGCTGCTGAGATCAAAAACAATCTATCTATCTATCTATCTATCTATCTATCTATGCGCCGTCCTGGTGGGACTGCACAGCCATGGTGAGACCTGCACAGCAAAGGTGAGACCCCCACAGGGATGATGAGACCCGCACGCAGCCCTGGTGAGACCCCGCACAAAGCCCTGGTGAGACCCGCACGCAGCCCTGGTGAGACCCGCACTCAGCCCTGGTGAGACCTGCACTCAGCCCTGGTGAGACCCGCACGCAGCCCTGGTAAGAACCACACGCATCCCTGGTCAGACCCCGCAGCCCTGGTCAGACCCCGCACAGCCTTCTGAGATGCCGCACAGCCCTGGTGAGCAACAGAGAGTATGTAGCTTCATATTCTGCATTGCTGTATAATGTATTGCTGGGATTTGTAGTCCTCTATAGCTGATGGTGTTCTGCATTGCTGTATAATGTATTGCTGGGATTTGTAGTCCTCTATAGCTGATGGTGTTCTGCATTGCTGTATAATGTATTGCTGGGATTTGTAGTCCTCTATAGCTGATGGTGTTCTGCATTGCTGTATAATGTATTGCTGGGATTTGTAGTCCTCTATAGCTGATGGTGTTCTGCATTGCTGTATAATGTATTGCTGGGATTTGTAGTCCTCCTATAACTGATGGTGTTCTGCATTGCTGTATAATGGTATTGCTGAGATTTGTAGTCCTCTGTAGCTGATGGTATTCTGCATTGCTGTATAATGTAGGGATGCACCAATACCGGTTTTCCCGGTATTGAGTATGAGTATCGATATTTTTTCCCGGTACTCACCCATACTGAATACCGATACTTGAAGTCTCATTAAGGAAGCCAGGCGGTGAGTCATTACACGGTGCCTTGCTTCCTGATTGGCCGGTTCCATGCTCCCTCGTCACTAAGTGACCAGAAAGCATGGGGCCGGCTTCCTGGCCAATCAGGAAGCTGGGCACCATGTAATGACTCGCTGCCCTGCTTCCTGATACTGGAAGCTCGGGTATCGGACTAGGCATCTGAGCATTTAGGCGAGTACGAGTACTCACCCAAATACTCTGTATTGGCACCGATATTCTGCATTGCGGTATAAAGTATTGCTGGGACTTTTAGTCCTCTATAGCTGATTGTATTCTGCATTGCTGTAAAATGTATTGCTGAGATTTGTAGTCCTCTATAGCTGATGGTATTCTGCATTGCTTGTAATGTATTGCTGAGATTTGTAGTCCTCTATAGCCTGCAGTCAGTGACCAGGGTCGCAGCGGTCGCAACTGTGACTCTGGCACCCCACCACTATCCTAAATCAATAGTCTGTATTGTTTTAGAAAAACTGTCACATGACACAAAACAAAAAAATATCGGTAATTGGTATTGGTGTGTACTTGGGGAAAAGTTTTGTTACCCATACTCGGTCTGGAAAAAATTGTATCAGTGCATCCCATCTCTATCTATCTATCTATCTATCTATCTATCTATCTATCTATCTATCTATCTATCTATCTATCTATCTATCTATCTATCCAATCTGTCTGTCTGACTGTCTATCTATCCATGTGTATCCATGCATCCCTATTGTAACAAGAACAGATTACATTATATACAGATGAGTTCATTTTCCTCAGTCCCTATGGAGTAGACACAAACTTTTTAGTTTTTTCAGTCCTGTTTTCCTGTTTTGAGAATTTCTACCAATCCAGAAAATCCTTCAGCCTCGTGCAGAGAGTTCATCATTTTGATGCATCTCCCATCTAGCAGCGCACACATTTTATGTATCGCTTCCACCTGAAGTTGCTCAGAAAATGGAAAGGTTGATGTCAGCGTATGGAAGATACGAAACTGCAGGGGGCGCCAGAACACCTTTTCTTTTCCCTTCTGTGCGGTGTGCTGTCATTGTAGGCACCTGCTTCTCGACGCTTTATAAGTGGGTGATTTACTGAGCTGGAGCACGGGGAGGAGTCTGAACTATCAATGAATGTGAAAATCTGGAGATACATTTTTTCTTTGCGTTGTAACAGCTGCAGACGGTCCTCGGAAGGGAACGCAGCAAGCTGCGGACTGCTTCAGCATCCTAGAGCATGGAAAGACTTGCTGAAGATGCTGTTGTAAAGGAGAATGCTGCTTCTTCTTAAAGTTGGGGGTCTGCAAAGTCTACCAAGTCATGGAAGTGCATTCATCATCGGCTCAGCTGTGACCAGTTTTCAGGAATGGTTCTTGGATGAGCTTGCTTCATGATATATCCTTGTTTCTTTTATTTCTGAGGAGGCTTGACCACACTCTTGGAGAACGGTTCCCCAAAGCTTCAGCCATGAATTCATCCAGCATCCTTTTGTTTGTTCATTCCGTCCAGTTCAATGCCACCTTGGACTTTAACGAGACCCTCCTGCTCAATAACCTCAGCAGCATCGAGTTCTGCGAGCAAGTTTTCATCAAGACCGAGGTGTTTTTAACCCTGGGGATTATCAGCTTGCTGGAGAACATCCTGGTGATCCTGGCCATCCTGAAGAACAAGAACCTCCACTCGCCCATGTACTTTTTCCTCTGCAGCTTGGCCGTGGCCGACATGCTGGTCAGCGTGTCCAACGCTTTGGAGACCATCGTCATTGCCGTGCAGAACAAATACCTGGACATCGGGGACCAGCTCCTCCAGCAGCTGGATGATGTTTTTGACTCTTTGATCTGCATCTCTCTGGTGGCTTCTATCTGCAGCCTCCTGGTGATTGCTATAGACCGCTACATCACGATTTTCTACGCCTTGCGCTATCACAGCATCATGACGGTGAAGAAAGCGTTGGCTTTGATCGTGGTCATCTGGGTCTCCTGCATCATCGGTGGCATCGTCTTCATCGTCTACTCCGAGAGCAAGACGGTCATCGTGTGCCTCATCACCATGTTCTTCACCATGCTTGTCCTGATGGCCACCATGTACGTCCACATGTTCCTGTTTGCCCGCCTCCACGTCAAACGGATCGCAGCCCTGCCCGTCGACGGCGTGGTGCAGCAGCGGACGTGCATGAAGGGCGCCATCACGATCACCATCCTCTTGGGGGTCTTCGTTGTGTGCTGGGCTCCTTTCTTTCTCCACCTCATCCTCATCATCTCCTGCCCCGGCAACTCCTACTGCATCTGCTACGGTGCCTACTTCAACACGTACTTAATCCTCATCATGTGCAACTCAGTCATCGACCCCCTCATCTACGCCTTCCGCAGTCTGGAGATGCGGAAGACCTTCAAGGAGATCATATGCTGCTACGGCATGAATTTTGGAAAGTGCGGTTAGAGTCTCATCCCCCCAACACGTGTGTTTGAGTTGGTGTCATTCATGAAATTCACTCCGTTTACCATTCATGGCACAGACACAGCAGGATCTCTAAAGCCTGGATTAGGACAATGAAGGGCTTTTGGAAATTCTCAAACAAGGTCTGGGCGTGTCACAAAAGATGCAGGGGTATGCAACCTCGGCACTCCAGCTGTGGTGACACTACAAATGCTATCATGTGTCTGCCTCTATGAGTCATGCCTGTGGCTATCAGAGCCTTGCAGTGCCTCATGGGACTTGTAGTGCACATGGAGTGCCGAGGTTGTCTACCCCTCGTATAATGCATTGTTCAGACTTGTATTGGTGGGGGAGAAATAACATTAAATACGAAGCTGCAATTGGTAAAATGCATTAAGCCACAGCGACCAATCAACGGTCAAGTTTCCTTTTTCTGGCCATCGTAGGGTGGCTGTGGGTTTGGCATTGTATCATGTTTGCAGTATATATTGAAAAAAAAATTAATAATAATTTATTTACAGTTTAATATTCTAAAAAAAAAGAAAAGGGGTTTGATTGGCTGTGTGCTGAAAAGGACATCCATGGATGTGATACACTGTGTTACATGTCGTCCCCGTGCTCATACATACCCCACTTCTCATATCCTCATCTTGCCATATCCTCGCAGCTAGGACAATGAAAACACGTTCATAAGTGTTATCACAGCAAGTGTAACGTGCCGACCAATTCAGCCAGCTCTCCACTTAGCCTTTAGCAACCTACTATTACCCAGCCACTGTGGAACTACAACTCCCAGCTGCCTGCAGGGAACGCTGGAATGCCACTTCACAACAGCTGCAGAGCCGCAGGCTGCAAGTCATTTTTATGCAGCCCATCGAGCAGCTTGACAATAGAAGTGGCTTCAATATTCTGCAGTGACAGGTGAACTTGCTGGGGGATGCTGGGACTTGTGGTAGCTCAGTCTTAAGTCTCAGGTTCTGTGTCTGCACATCACAGGTGACCTCACAGTTAGTGAAATAGAAATGTATTTTGATGGTTTCTTTATTGTGTGTTTTCATCTCATGTAGAGAAATATGTTTATTTTTTTATATCTTCATAGTTGGGGCTTTAGCCTCTTGTCCAAGAGGGGACGCGGGGCGGTTCGACCCTGAGAGCTGACGTGGTGATGGTGTCTTGCCGCTCCACAATAAGCCCGCTGAGTGTAAATGGATGATTTATTTTTTTAGAAGGGATTATATTGTAGAATTTGCTTCGAACACCCAAAAACTTGGAGGGGAATTTATCAAAACAGGAGCAGCCAAAATCTGGAGCAGCTGTGCACGGCAACTTTTTTTCCCATGGTGTTTGAAAAAATAAAGAGTAGCTGACAGCACAGCTCTTTGAAGGGACAAGTCCTAGAAACACATTAATAGATCATAAGAGCTCCAAGTACTGCTGAGGACATATGTGACATTCGGTGATTGGACTCTGATCATACCGCGTAGCTTCTAAACCACATCTAAGTATTGGTAATGGGGTCTGCAAAGTGGACTGCACAGAAAAAGTCCTGCATCTCTTTGAGGTAGGGATGCACCGATTACCAAGTACCGTACTCGGTACAAGTACAGATACTTTTCCAGCTCCGGGACTAGACTAGAGAAAAATTCAGATGTTAGGAGGCCACTGTCATGTGTAAGGAGCACACGGAGCTCCCGGGATTTGTACATCCCCATTTTAATGTATGAATTTGTTTTTATAAACATATATAAAGGGATGCACCAATACCAGTTTTGCAAGTACAAGTACTGATACTTGTCCAAGTCCTCACCATTACAAGTACTGATACTTGTCCAAGTCCTCACAGATACAAGTACTGATACTTGTCCAAGTCCTCACAGATACAAGTACCGATACTTGTCCAAGTCCTCACAGATACAAGTATTGATACTTGTCCAAGTCCTCACCATTACAAGTACTCACAGATACAAGTACTGATACTTGCCCAAGTCCTCACAGATACAAGTACTGATACTTGCTCAAGTCCTCACAGATACAAGTACTGATACATTGTTATTTATTGTCATGTGACAGTTTTTCTAAAACAATACAGACTAATGATTTCAGGACAATGGGGGAGCGCCCGAGCCCGGTCCCAGCTGCAACCCTGGTAGTTCTCATGAAAATGCCAAGTATCGGCACCGGTATCTGAAAAGTATCGGTGCATCCCTACTTTGAGGTCCGGCCAGCCTTACTTGACTGTGTTCCATTGAAAATAACTGAGTGGGTTTAGAGAGCGTGGTTTTGATTGACCTGTACAAAGGCTTACAACTCCTTTACCAGTCTGAAAACTGGAAAGAAACATTTGGCAAAATGCAACAGTTGCTCCTCAGTTAGTCACAATCATTCTGAACCTAAAATTTCATTGGATGACAATAGTTTTTGATACATTGTTTCTCTAAATCAACCTTCAAAAGGGTCATCAGGGCTTTGGCAACCATTTCACTGTGCCTTGTATAGTTGTCCGACGTTCCCCTATAGCCAAAAGCTTCTACGTGTCACCTTCATTCCATTCTGCATTCGCCCTACCATCCATAAAGAACAAAAACAAACTAGCCCTGCGCCACCTTTCTGTTGTCTTTTCAAAAAGTTCATTTGAGCGTCACGGTTAACTACCCAACTTTCCTGGTGCCTTTTTTTTTAATTCCAAATCCACATAGAAATAACTCACGGTAATGTATTCATCAACGTGAACCTGAATCATCTGGAAGATGTCAATTGCTGGGAGTCCTACCCTTGGCAGATAAGGCATTGGAAGCGTTTGGAAGAGCGATGCGTGGACAAAAGTTTAATGGAAGGCTTCAATTATTTATCGCGCAAGTTCGGAAAAAAAAATGAGCCGAATAACAATTTCAAAGTGCCTCATATGTAGCTGAATATTTGTGTGCTGAGTTCATTAGGAAACCCCAGAAGAGATAGAGCTTGAAGACCTCGCTGACTGATATTAGAATTATTCCTGAACCGGTTATATTCTCTGGAGCGTCTGGGGACGGCGCCAATTAGTTGCAACGTTCGCGAAAGACTGGCTCCGTGAGGGGGCTGCGCATGACAAGGGAGTGACTGGGCTGTTATGTTCCCCGGGCACCTTTCATGACTGTATCAGATGCATCGCGCGCCAGACACACCGCGGATAACCATCGACGCCTTACAGTCTCGGAAATGGAATTCGCCGAAGTGCGTTTCTTCTTCTCAAGGTGTGAATGGAATTTCTGGGGATCGGATCAGGTTTACTGCAAAGACTTTCAGCATCTTGTCTTTTGAAGACCCTTTTGCCCCAAAAAATATCTTCTCATTGTCTCTTTATACGTGACGCACGTCGGCGCTCGCTTGCTGACAAACATTTTCACCTCAGCAACAGGTCGTCGAGCTCATCACAAATATGAATTCTCCGGGAAGAACAGAGAGTTTGTTCTGAAGAACATTCGCTCCTCCACGATGTATCCCGTTACGTTTTCTCTTTGTCGGCTTTTCAAAAAGTGAGAAGACTTTTGTGGGCCAGCAATGGACAGAGAGCTCGCGCAACGTAACTTTCTGAAAGCAAAACCTTGGACATTCCGGAGTAAAAGGTTGGGAGCAGTGTATGAAGGGAGCAATGAATTGGGGGCAATGTATGTCGGGAGCAATGAACTGGGAGAAATACATGAAGGGAGGAATGAATTGGGAGCAATGTATATCGGGGGCGATGTATGTTGGGAGCGATGAATGTCGGAAGCAATGTATGAAGGGAGAAATGAATTGGGAGTGATCTATGTCGGGAGCAATGTATGAAGGGAGCAATATATGAAGGGAGCAATGTGTGAAGGGAGCAATGTGTTGGGAGCGATATATGAAGGGAGCAATGAATTGGGAACATTATATAAAGGGAGCAATGTGTGAAGGGAGCAATGTGTTGGGAGCGATATATGAAGGGAACAATGAATTGGGACCGATATATGAAGGGAACAATGAATTGGGAGTGATATATGAAGGGAGCAATGAATTGGGAACAATATATGAAGGGAGCAATGTGTTGGGGAGCGATATATGAAGGGAGCAATGTGTTGGGAGTGATATATGAAGGGAGCAATGTGTTGGGAGTGATATATGAAGGGAGCAATGAATTGGGAACATTATATGAAGGGAGCAATGTGTGAAGGGAGCAATGTGTTGGGAGCGATATATGAAGGGAGCAATGAATTGGGAACATCATATGAAGGGAGCAATGTGTGAAGGGAGCAATGTGTTGGGAGCGATATATGAAGGGAGCAATGAATTGGGAACATCATATGAAGGGAGCAATGTGTGAAGGGAGCAATGTGTTGGGAGCGATATATGAAGGGAGCAATGAATTGGGAGCAATATATGAAGGGAGGAATGAATTGGGAACATTATATGAAGGGAGCAATGTGTGAAGGAAACAATGTGTTGGGAGCGACGTACGAAGGTAGTGAATATTCTTTTGTGAGGGTCGTAATGGACCAGTAAAAATGGACAATGTATTTAAAGGGATCATATAAGATTGGAAGTTGGCTTCAAAAGTTTTCTGTGGCTCATATTATGTTACTGATGATGATGATGATGATGATGATGATGATGATGATGATGATGATGATGATGATGATGATGATGTCTAAACTTGAGCTATACAGTCGCACTTAAAGAAGAGGAATTCCGGGATTTTAAATAACATACCCTTGCAGTGGGGCTAACCTTGTGCTGTAAGGGTTAAATGCTCATTTTGGGGGGAGCAAATAAAGAAAATATACTCACCTGATCCTGGGTCCAGCCTGCCTCCTCTCCCTTGAGCTCCGGTGGGCTAAAGACCACGGACGTCATCACATCTAGTGCAGGGCCATCGACTTGCATTAGACGTGAGGACGCCGAGGGACATACCACAGCTGGAGCCAAAGAGTAAAGAGCTGAGTTTTGACCGCTGCAGGACCGAGGATGAGGTGAGCATATCGGCTTATACCTGCCCCCCAGAAGAAT